GACACCGCCTTGATTTAGTGGTGAAATTAACCCTTTGACGACCGCCGTTATGAATGCGTCACTTCACTTCTTTTTAAATTTTTTCTTCAGTAGTCATAAACTCTCCAACAATTTCATTATTAGTAATGAGCACATTATTTCGCGGATCCATTAGTATATGGGCAGTTTTGAAACATGAAAAAATGCAAATAAACCACGAAAAACGAGTCGCCTCCGAGTGGAAAGTGTGGCCCACCGGCGGGCCACACGGTCGTCAAAGGGTTAAACAAAAAATAAGCGGAAGTAAGGTGAGGACGGCGCGCTCGCAAAATCGCTCCTGTCCCACGCGGTGCAAAATGCCAAAACACGCGATGTCGTCAACGTGTTAAAGTTCATAGTTCAGGTTGCAAAGCAAAGAACAACGTCTCAGACATCAATGATCCATGTGCCCTACCGCAGCAGACGACTTCGCCTTACTCATGACGCGAATGAGGTGATGCGAAGTGAAAGGACATCTAAGAATGTAGTGAAACTTGAACTGTTCTTCGATGAAGAATAGCACAAGCTTGTTCACTGTCCTCGCCGTCACCAGAGTTCAAGTTCAAGCACCGTTCCGGGAGGTCGAGGAGAGCCTACATCGAGCACTGCGTGATTTCTTCCGTCGGGTTGCCTTGTAGACCGCATCCCTAACGCCTTCGCGTCGCTTGCGTAAGATCCCTGCCCACCTATAGCTCGGACCACGTAGCTTCATATCACAATTTGTATCCCGTGGGTCGACCCCCGCCAGAACACTTGATAGTATCACCCCAAATAACTGCATCCTACATTTCCCCGGAATTTATGAATCTAGCCGAAGGCGTCTTCAGCAGCCCCAACCCCACCATTACGTGCAAAGTAAGCTTTGCTGGTGCCCTGGAGCGAGCTGCTTTTTTGTCATCTCATATTATTGGAGATCATTGGAGATTACGCTTCGTTGCTCTCCTCTGACCATAAGATTGGGTCAGCTTTCACGTTGCGATGGCGATCATTAGGTACCTTGAAAAAAATCGTCCAGTAGTACAGGTCGTCTTTTGATGTATGAAGATAAGAAGTTTCAGCAAATGTGGCGATAATATTCTGTTGCAAACCTGGACAGCAACAACTAAACCACTGTTGTTACCTACGCTTTTTCCATTTAAAACTTTACAGTGCGTAGCGAGTCATAAGAAGCAAAAATAAAAAATGCCTATTCTATACGTTATATATGAACAAGCTCCGCTATTCAACAAAAGCAATACGATTCCTCTTACTTATAGTTAGGTATCAAAAAATAAGAAGGTATTGCTCAC